GTTAGCAAAGAGTGCTCTGTGTGTGGAGGGCCCTGGGGCTCTTGGCGGGGTGTCAGCCCAGGCAGCCCCCGCTGCCAGGCATCTGGGCACACACAGGTTGTGGCCACACAGGCTTTCCTCCAAATAGAGCAAGGCCCGCAGGCCAGTTCTCTGACTGAAGGCCAAGTGTGCGCACACGCACGCGCATACACACACACACACACACACACACACACACACACACACAGCCCAGGCACCCGGAGAGCTTGCTGCGGGGTGGGGTGCCCAGCTCCCTGACCAGCAGGCGCCTCCTGCCTCTGCAGAGGATGGGGCACGTCAGCTGCAGAGGGCCTGCGTCTACGGAGCTCTCCAGTCGCCGAGAGAAGCAGGATGCTGTCACACGCCCGGAAAATGTGACCTTTGAAAATTTACAAGAGCTCCGAGTTTAAAAAGCTGCTGCGTTAATGATGCATCCCATTAGCATCTCATTAAAAGGAAGCCGAGACCCGGTGCCCAGGCCTGACGACCAGCCGAGGGGCCGTGCTGGCGGGGCAGCAGGACAGGGCACGTCTATCGGAGGCTGTCTGTGCAGAACACGGACACGGCGTGGGGCAGAGCCCGGGGCAGGGACGCTGAGCCGCGGGAAAGGTCTGAGGGCTGGCCTTGCGTCCCACACAGGACAAGCCTTTCAGCCCTTCTGGGCCCTGCCTTCCTCCCCTCACCCCGGTGGCATAGTGGTGAGGAGTTGGGCTGCGATCTGCAGAAGGGGAGGGAGAGAGAGACTGGCTTCCAGTCTCAGAAAGAGTGACAGCCCTGCCCCGGCTGCGGCCGGCGATGGGGCGGTCTTGACACAAAGGCACAGAGCGCGGTTGTCCTGTGCTGGCAAGGACTCCCGAAAGGGGCAGAAAGGGGCACACGGTGGACACACCTGACTGCCCTTTGTGGTCCTCACAGAGAACCCTCAAAAGAGCGCCCCACCTGGCGGGTGGCCTGGGGCTCCCAGCACTCAGGCTGGTAGAAAGCCCGGGTGCCTTTGGTGGGCTCATGGACATGGCGGGGTGGTGGGCCTTAGGGGAGGTTAGCAGGAGCTAGCTACAGAGCGGGGGCACAGCACCCTTGTAGCGCCCAGGACCGGGGCTGCGGTGACCAGACCAGGTTGCCTTGGAGTCCCCTGGACAGGAGGACTGGGCTCTGCTGGGTCCTCGCTGACACTCGTGTCACCAGCTGCTCAGGGACTCCCACACCTGGGAACCTGGTTCCTCTGTGTGGGCCACACCTTTGGCGC